ATGTCGTTTCTCCAGCTTTCGGCTCCAGGATGCTTCTCCCTTGTCAGCAATAGACAAACACCCGGAGCTAATGTTTATGCATGAGAGCCTGCTGCTGATGCAATCTACTGGCAGGTACTACTTACTTAAAGCATCCATCCATTTAATCATCCAGAAGTGTGCAAAATAATGTGAGGATGAGGGTTTCATCCCTCTCTGGGAATCGCGCTTTACTGACTCTGGGCTGCTCTTCATCAAAAAACAGGAGAAGGAAGAAAAACAGAGGTGGGGGGAGGAGAGAGCAGCACTAATGATAGTTTAAAAATACATCCAGCGCCTAAAGATACAGAATAAACATAGGAGCCAGAGAAGGAAGCGCTGTTAGATCTAAACAGTTAAAAACAGGATTTCTTTCCCCCGCTGCTAATTAAAATGTTCTGAATTGCAGATTAAGTCATTGGCTTGACACTGTCGCTTCCAGCAAAGAGGACTCGGGGAGTCCTCCAGATTTCCTCTGTGGAGGGTGAATGCCAAAAGCAAACCAAGATGTGGCCTCCCTTGCGAGGCCCCGCACATCAAATCAGCTGTCAGGGCGTGGGACCCGGTATCGTCCCCAGCTGGAGAGGAAGTCCTAGACTACACGACCTGATCTCAGGCAAGGAAGTTGTGTTTTCCAAGGGAAAATGCTTTATTTAAAAACCCAGCAGCCTTTCATTTGCCTCTGCTCCAACCAGCTGAGGAAAGGTATCGAAGGCTGGGTCACGCTCGCAGATGGGAGGGTTTTTCTGAACAGCAGATGACTCCGTATCGAGCTCAAGCTCACAGGGCTGAGAGACACGGGGCAGAAAAGGTCCCCCACTTACCTGGAGTCCGGCAGCAGGGCTCCCCGCTGGCAGCACTGGGAGGCAAATGAGGATTTCACCGTGAGCATTTGCACCTGTCTCTTGATTGCAGCCACTGCGGAGGAACCGCAGGTGCTGGAAATCTTTCACCCCAGAGTTCACAAGCTGGTCCCAGGCCCGGCAAACTTGCAGATGGGTTCTCACAACCAGTTGCAAGCTAGGTGAGATCTAGGAAACAGGCTGCGAGCGCAAGGACTGGGATGAAACCTAGGTACAAGGAGAGTGTGATGGGTCAAGGAGGGGAGCATAGGAAGAGGGCATGGCCCCCGTCGCATGGGGAAAGCTGAGCTCCCCGGAGCCGGGAAGCGGAGCTCAGAGCCGAGCCATGCCACCACAACTTCCAAATCCCTGCAGTCAAAATACACCACTCCGGTCCTGGGGGATGAACTGCAGCCGTTTATCACACCCCCTGCACTGCCCGTATCCAGCCCTCTTGCACACGGTGGACAAAGGGAAATACCATCAGACCCATTTTACAGATGGAGAGACTGAGGCACCAAAAGGCACCAAGTCTCACCCCCCCGCAAGCCAGGAACATGACCCAGGCTCCTAGGTCCTGGCCTAGTGGTAGCTCTTTAGACCTACCTCAGCCCCCCCCCCACCACTTGGCTGGGGGTACGGAAAACACATCCACATAAACGAGACACGCTGCATGGGAGATCTGCCCCAGACCCTCAGTGCAGCCAGGGAGCAGCTGGGTCACCCTGGGAGGATGTTGCAGAAAGGCAGGGAGCCGGGCACCTGGAGGGCAGCGGTTTCGCTGGGCTCAGCACAGCCCAGTGCCCTGCCAGTCACTAAACCCATCCTTCTGCTTTGGCAAAGCTCTGCCCTAAGAGCAGACCAGAGGCCCGGGAGATGGTGCTACCCCTTGGCAAAGCCTGCACGGGAAAGGGGCTGGAAGTTGACAGCCGAGGTTTGAGCCTCCTGCTTATCATTACGGGGGGCCAAACAGAGCATCCAGTGAGTGCAAGCAACGCAGAGCCCGGTCCCCGCACCCTGGGGCTCTCCAACGGGAGGATGCTCAAACTCCCCCATGCCTTGACCTGTTTAAATCACAGATGAAAGTTAGTGGAGAAGCAAAAAGCCAACAGCTTTCAATTGACAACTGGAAAATGAAGTCCTGAGCCTACAAGGCCCCATGCAGTGACTTTGAGAAACACTCCCTGCTCGATTGTAGAGCGCATGGCAGGGGATGGAGCCAGATATGGCAACTCTTCCCACCTTCCTCTCCCTCAACCAAAACACAGTGGCAGGAGGGAAATCCAGGTTAAACCAACCATTCGCCAACACGAAGCCTGGTGCAAATTTTTGGCCTTTCCTCTACTTTTTCTCCGCAGAAGAGAGGATGACGCAGCCCCAGTAAGCATTAAGACGCTAGCAGACGCTTGCCTGCGCTTTGAGGTAGGCATGAGCAAGCTCTTTCAAAGGAAAGGGGGAGATGAGCCAGCCCCCGGGACCTGTTCCTTATCCACTTTCTAGTGCTAAGGGCCTTTCTTCCAGATATGCTTACAGCACGGCAATGGCATTCAGCCCCCAGTTCAGGCATTTTTCCACCCGAGAGCGTTAGCGCATGCAATCTCCTGCTGCCCGCACCTGTTTGCTTAAACGTTTCCCACTGAATGTCAATGGAGACCAATGAAAGACGAGTAAACACCGATCCCCACAATAAATGCCAAGGCTTATTAGCAGAGCAAATTGTGTGCTTAGCCGAGTCTTAGAGGAATCTTTGCTGGGTAAACACTGCCAACGCCGTGCACTAGAGTAAATAAAGGAAGAAAAGCAGCAGACATGAATGGTGACTTCACTGGAATGCCATTCCCCCACCGAGGGGGCGAGCAGCCTGCATGCTCCAGGAGGTAAAGTGAGGGAAACGAGGCCAGATCCAGGCACATGCTCCCCCACCCCATTGCAGATGCACAAGCCTCCCCGCTGTCCCATCAGCCAGGATGGGAATTGGAAAATCCCCTTCCCTAAAACTCAGGAGACATCCCAGCTTAGCCTCAGTCAGGTTTTGAAAGAAGCCTGAGAGAACTGCTCTGACTCGTCACCCGCTTCTGTTGTTTTCCTACCTACTCTTATCCCACCTCAAGAACAGAAACCCATGGCAGCGCTATGTTGCTAACAGAAATGCAAAATGCAGGGCATGCCGGGCCAAGGGGCAGGGACATGCATACTCCCCAGAAGGCCTGTAGGTCTTTGAAAGCAAGCCTCACTCAATCTTTGCTCAGCCGACCCCTTGCAGACAGGGATAGCGCGGGACCCAGCCGCAGCGTACAGAACACTTTGCATTAAACAGGCGACTTTTCAGACGTATCTAGGATGTGGTCTCAGGGAAGTCAACTCTTTCGCCATCAAGTTGCCAGGTCTCTTACCTTCAGGCACATGCTTCTAAGTAAGATCTCAAAGTTTGCCATCCATTTCAACTCCTACCACGTGCTGATGATGATGATTCAGTCGTACCTGGCACTTTCAAAGCTTTCTATAATTTCAGTGGTTCAAGTCTCAGCTTTTTCTTAATATTATAACTAGTGTTCATGCATTACAGCATATCGCACGCGCATAATTTTACAACTCTTAACAGTGAGCATATATACAAGGTGTGCACCCTTTACAAGGAATGTATTAAAAAGAAAACAAAACAAAGAAAAAAGGACATTTTAGAAAGAATCAGAACTTCAGAGTAACTTGTGGAGAGAGTGATTCAGTCTCCATTCATCTAGAGCAACATTCCTTCCTTATAAAGGAATATAGTATGTGCGTATGTGTCTCCTGCCGCTGATCTCATCTTTGCTATTTTTCAGCCGTACCTTGTACATGACAAATTAATGCTGGTCCTTGGCAATTTGATTGATGTTACTCGTCAAGGGGGCAGGGGCAGAAAGATCTGAAGCAATGACAAAAAGTGCTTTCTTTACGCCAGTTGATTTCCTCTCCTCACTAGGTCCTAACCACCCTTTACAACCCAGGCTGCCATTTGGTAGAGAAGGGAGCACTAGGGTTCACTTCAGCAGAGTCCAAGTTACCTCTACCTGCAACTCAGCAGTGCTGAAAGGGCAAGATGTCCCAGGAGGGGGCCTGAACAGGGTCTTTTCTTCCACAACAGCCTGCAGTTAAGGAATCTGCTGGGTACTTCTTCATCCCAGGAATAGTGCGACTGCACACCATCTAGTGGGGCGAGTTGAACAAGCACCTTGTATTTTATTGCCATAATAAACTATGAAGCTTCTCCCAAGCTCAGCTATTGATGCCATGTAAGGCTTATCATCCAGCTGCTCAGCTCTTCTCCCCCTTCCAACATCCACTTGGTCAATTTGGCTGATGCCTTTCTACCAGGCAGCATCCTGATTGGGGGGGGGGGCAGGAAAGCAACGAAGGAAATCCACCTTTGACGCAAGAAGAAAGCGTAAGATGGAGGGGCTTGCAATGGGACCTACCCCATGTTGCCCATGAGGGAGGTCAAGCTGTGAAAGTGGTGTTGTATTGCCAGCAGCAGGAGCAGAATGCTTCAGATGCCATCAGCCCATTTTGGAGGCAAGCTTCTCAGGGCATGTCCTTAGACCAGCACGGCTACAACCAAAAACACCATCGACCCATTTTGACACCCAGAAGAGGAATCCAGCCTGCCACCAGCTACTGGCCTGCACATGGGCAGCCACTTGCACCCCCCCAAAGCAAGCAAATGGAAGCTTTTGCCCTTAGGATGCCTTCAGCACTTCTTTCTACCTTCACCCCTGGGGAGGTTGAGAGGTAGAGCCTGATGCCCTACAGCAGCAGGAAATGACTTTTTCAGCACACGCCACAATTTAGCCCTGCCCAGGGCCACTCCAATCCTCTTCTGCTCTCTTTTGTCCTCCCTTCCCCCTCCCTCATCTGCCATGGGCCACATGCAGATGCAGTCATGCCACCGGTTGGCCACTCCTGCCCTAGAGTAAAAGGACCAGGAGCCCTTGAGAAGGCCAGGAAATGGTCCCTCCTGGAGGGGTGCGGGATGATCAAAAGTTGGGTTTTCACAAAGACGACAGTGCAACAGGATTTGGAGATTCTGGGGAGGAAGCCTGAGGTACTTCTGAAAGGGTAAGAAAGCTGTGCCAAGTTAGTGAGTCTGTACTGAGCAAGAGCCGCCATGGAAAAAAGTATTTTATTTTAACAGGTTTACAGATTCACTTAGTGTCACCACGCGTGAGCCTATTAGCCTCTCACCCCACATCTACCACTGTAACACGTATATACTAGTTACTTATACATACAAGGAGGTGGTCTGATATCAGTTCATCATTATATACTGCCTCAGCAACCCTGTACTCTCTCACTGGAGGTGGCTCAAAAGACTGTGATGGTTTCTCTCAAGTTAATTTGCATATGTACAGAATGTCGGTCCAGCAATTAAAGTTTCATCTCTTCTCTGATGAATTGTTCTAATAGGCAATTCCTATTGCTGAACTGCTTCTAATTATGATAAAAAGAGCCTGAATTGGTAGAGGAAACGTTCCTAAAGTGCATGACTGCAGCTAAATAAATAGCAGCTTTTGTCTATTTCTTTAAAACAAAAAGGACCCAAAAGGACCGTGACCAAAACTGAAAGCGTTTTGCACTACATGTATAAAAAAGGAAACCTTGGAAAAAACAAGGCCAAGACCTCGCATGATTTAGTTGACAAGAAAAATAGTGTGTCATCATCAAGAGGCTCACAGATACGAACAAGCTAGAAGGCACATTTGGAGAAGTCCAGAATATATGGCAGCATAAAAAAACCTTCAAGTTTGTTGAATATACAAAACTTCCCTGGGTTTGGGGAAAGCCTTTCCCTTTCGCTGCTGCCCAGCACAGCCAGTTATAAAATACACACAGGCAGTGTTAATAAGGCAGTAAGTTTACCAAGGCATTGCTGGCAGCAATTCAGATTAAAATCCCGTTGCTGAAGTAGAACAAACAGTATTCTGGGATGGTAGCGAACACAAAACTCATGGTTTTCTGCGCCTAGAAAAGAAACAGAAGTAACACACAGATCAATGGTTTGATTCTCAGAGCATCTTTTTCTCATACCGGCAACCAAGAAATATACCTGGGATTCGCACATTTGGTTGTATGGAGATAGCATCGATGAGGGGCTGGCAACCTTCATATACCCTGGGCCAGAACAACCCAGCCCCTAACCCAGCATAAGCCAGGCGGCTTCAGCGAGGTATCAGCAGCAAGGCGGGGGGAGCGAAGCAGGGAAGAGTGGTGGTGCCCTGCACCCATGCCAGGGCCAGGTGCTGCTGTGGCTTCTCCCGGGCCCCCTCACCCTCTGCAACGCAGCTGGGTGGAGACAACCCTCCAGCTGGACTGAAGCTGTGCCAGGGCAGGCAGCTGGAAGCTGCCCCCTCACTGCTTCTGCTTCTCCTCACTACAGCACGGGCGCAGCTGTCATTTGCCAACTCTGTCTGACCTCGGCCCTATCCCCAGCATGGGAATGGCAAAGCCCCCTGGCTCCAGTGTCTCTTCAAGCCAGATGCAGCCCGTGGGCCTTCTATTGCTGACCCCTGGTGTCAGTGGGATGCATTTCATTAAATATATTTTAACACGCCTCAAGGTAAGCATTATTTAAACACAGCTGATGAAACAGCAAACGTTCACTCCACAATATATTTTCCTATAGCACAATAAAGACCAAAACGACCAATTTTCAATGCAACCAGGCTGCCTCAGGCAGTACCAGGGCATTTGGGACTTAAGAAGGCAGTAAGTAAAGCTCCCATTAACTTGAGGAAGAGCAGGATCAGGCCCAAATATTCCCAGGAAAGCACATAGCAGCTTTAAGCCACAGCATGCCAGTGCCCATTGCAAGGGAAATGGTGAAAAGCAGAACTGAAATACCTAGCCCCCAGATACCACACCACCTCTCAAGCACCAGATTTGCTTTTTCTTCTGCTGGAGACAGTGGACTGACAAACACGGTTTTCAAGTGCTGGAAAAGCTCACCAGAGACTATAGCCTTAGCTCAAAATGTGTTATGCTAGGAGTTGCAGAACTTCTCTGTTTGGGCCCAAAATATATTCGATTTGGCTGGTCACCCTTTCTCCACCATTTCATTGGAAGCCCTTTTACCTCTGAAGCCCTTTCTCCTGCCTGTAAGCAAGTCTTGTAAAACTGCAAATGTTCTTCCCCTGAGTTGAATACGTCACTTCCACAGCACTGCCAGCACCTATCTGCAAGAAGCCAGATCTGGGTATTGAACACTATTCTCTACTGCCTAGGTTACCAGATTATCCATTACACACTTATTTTGATAGCAAATATCTACTGCAGTTTGCAATCTCATGGCTTGTGAAGTTCTGTTAGGTCTAAATAGGTGTTTGCCTCCATCGAAAAAAGCAGATTTTCTGATCCAACTGTGTTGCTATTTGTACAGTAGGGACAAGAGCTTCAGATCCACAAACCTGAAGGACGGAATTTGAGTCAGCCAGAAAACCCTGAGGAGTTCTCAGGTTGTTCATGACAAAAGCTTCTCCCTGGCTTGAACTGTGCTTCTCCCATCAAACATGTTGATTGCCCTGACTTGGCACAGTGATGGCTAGAAATGTGCATTAGCTACATCAAATTTGCAATCATATTGCCACGAGCCCTTCCTTTAAGATGCCTTTCTGCAAGCAGAGAAGTGGGGGAGCACCGAGAAACATTTTTTGGGCCCATTCCGAAGGCCAATTATTAACAAGTAATATCGACCGATACCAATCTGACTGCCGATCAAGGCCTCCACAGTGAGGCAGGGGCTTGGGCTTGGGCTGGGCCTGCCCAGCTGGGGCAGGGCAGGGCAGAGGATGGAGCCGTGAGCAGCTTGCCCGGGGGTGCAGAGGTGGGGGTGGGGCAGTTCCTGCGGCTGCACGCACCCCCAGGAGAGAGACATGGCAGGGTATGTGCCCCCCCAGATCTGTGCACAGGACAAGGGCAGGCTGCTTACTGCCTGCTCGAGGCCGGGGGTGGCACCAGGCTCTTCCCCAGCTGAGGGGGGAGGAGGCTAGGTCAGGGCTGAGCTCAGGTCAGGCAGCGGCAGTGCTAGAAGTGGGGGCTACCAGCCACCCCAAAATGCACCATAGCCTGCCCCCATACCTCCTCTCCCAGCACCACTGCTGCCCTCCTCAAGCACAGCTCCGGCCCAGCACCCCAGGCTGAGAAGAGCCCAGTGTTGCTCCCGGCTGTAAGCACAGTGGCACCTTGCCCTGTGCATGGATCCAAGGGGAACATGCCACACATGCCTCCCCCAGGGATGCACACAGTGGTGGAAGCCACCCCCCCCCCTGCCTTGGACAAGCCACTTACAGCTGCATCTGCACCCCACCCCACTCAAGCTGGGCAGCGCCTGCCCCACTCCCTCCCACACTGCACAGGCCTCAATCTGCCCCCACCACGCCTCTTCCCTCCCTAGAGGTTTACCAGCCAGATGCTGCTCTTCACAATGCTGGGTTACACTCCTGGTTGCATGCATGCTGCAGCTGCACACATGCATACCGCATTTAAAATTGGTGACATCCACCAAAAAAGCTGACTGCCAATAATGTCAATTTTCCTTTTATCGGTGCTGATATGATATGGACTGATGTATTGGTGCACCTCTATTAACAAGTGGAATCAAAGTATTCACCTGGCCCTGCCAAGCCCATTACTAATTTGTTCCAGGTACTGACATTCTTAGGTGCTGACACAGCATCTGATATTAATTTTAAGTTTTCCACACCTTTAGATTCAGAAGACAAAAGAGTCTGGAAGTAATTGAACAGCTTTTGTTTGTTGCTGCCCCATCTCTATGGAGTTGCCACGTTATTGGTTGTTCCAGCACAAAGCTTGCAGCCTCACCTCAGTCAGCCCACTTAAACTGACATTCGGCTATTGCCCTTCTGTGCTAAAAGTTTACTAGTCATGCTTTAGGCCAGGGCCTGATGACTGAGACATCCAAGCAGCAACGTTGCCCTATTTTGGGATCTGTTTTGATGCCTTTGTTCTGGAATTTGGACAGGCTTCTTTAGAGGTAAAGGCAGCCACATACTCTTTGAGGCTGAGCAACTTTAGGTATGACCAATGTCCCTATGTTAGGCTTCCAAGTGCTGTGCCATTTGTCTCTGGTCATCTATTCTGCAACACTACTAGATAATCAAAGCTGGAAACAGACAGGAGGGTGGTTGTCCTGTCTTTTATCTATCTTTCTCCTCCTGTTGCAACTACAGTTTAAAAAACACACAACCAGAGTTAAAGGCACAAACCAGCAAGTGTTTTTCATTTCTGGGTTAAATATTTACTTTAAGTTAACTCAATATTTAAAAGGCAAGTTATTTCTCCAGCAGGAAAATTTAAGGCAAGAACCCAGAACCCCTGGTTATAAAAAGTTAAAGATCCACCTACTTGGGCTGAGCATGATGTTGGTAGCCAGGTCCAAGACTAGATCCTGCTCTCATCTCCACAGCTACAGAACACTGAAGAGATGTCAAGAGTTAGTCACTACTGCCCACAGCGGCCAGAAAACAGTACAGACCCAGTAGTCTGGCCCCAGACTTGTACCCACTTAAGCTGGAATTAAGCTTTTCCCCTACATCATTTGCAACTTACTCTGGTTTCCACATCTGTCCATTCAGATTCTGCACCATCTTCTGGTGGGTTAGGACTGGATTGGGATGATCTTCGCTTTCGACTGAAGGAGGTGAAGAAAAAAAGAGAGTTAGACCAAAAAGCAGCACAGGGGATTGTCTGCGTATGCTATCTGTATTCTTAACTAGTTAAAAATAGCTAACTAGCATTAGACAAAGCTAAGTGTCATCAGATTTGTAGAGCATTGGTACTAGGGGCTTAACAAGAAACACTTCTCTGAACTGCATGCATGTTAAACCAATAATTTCTGTTCACACCTAGCTTCACATTCAACTCACCACCAAACAACTGATGGCATTAGAGCCACGTGTATGTTTTGGGGAAGTCAGATTCTCAACATTATCACCACTACAAGATTTCAACATAACTCACCCAGTTGGAGACTCTTGTTTCAGAGTTTCTATATCCGTGAACTGGACGGCCTGTCCACCACCCCTAGTTTTGAAAACATCACCCTGATGGCAATAAACAGCAACAAGTTGGTTACTATACAAGCTTATCTGAAGGGGTCTAAAGATCTGAGTGCTTCCATTTGGTATTGAAAAGAAACACGCCCATCCACCCACAATGCAGGACAGTGCAGTAAGGGGAACCCGGAGATGGTCATCAGGAATAATTTAACCCGGAGATGGTCATCAGGTCACTGAAGGGACTTGGTACATTGGATGCAGAAGGTCCATCAGGGCTCACTTTCCTGCTCTCATACTACAGCACTGATTTTTAGGCTAAAACCCTTGGGTAAGTTGTGTGAGTGAGCCTTTATGTTAGCATGGAGGGATTTTATTTACACAAGTATATAAACAGAAGTGTCGTAACAATGAGTAACAGGAAAAAGCTGCATTCCAACACACACAAAGCCCATGCTATTTAGCACCACCCTTTAAAAGGCTTTAATCAGTCCCACAATGGGAAATCCTGTTTCTAAAGCCTTTGTCTCTGTACTGCTGCATTGTTGCGGCAGCTTGAGTCACACTGGCCATGGCTGAAGCAACACTTCCACAAGACTGTTGCTTGCACAAAGCCAGTGGCTAGCAGAAGCTTAATGCCATTAGGAAAGGGGTCTTAAAATTATTGACCTTTAAGCACACGTTACTAGAAAAACATAGCAAATGGCTATGAGGACATTAGGAAGGACTAAAGTTGAATTAGCAAGCCATCTAGAAAAAAAAGCCTCTCACCTTGTGTCAACCTGTAACATTCAAATTAAAAAGTTAATAGCACATTCGATGGCAACTTACACAAGCTCAGAGTGCAGCAGGAAACACAAGGTCAGTGAAATAACATTTAACAGTGCTGTGACATGTTTGTTTTACCTTAATTAATTTAGTTTCAATCTCCCCATCGGAGGCTAGCTCCTGGTGTGTCAGCATGTACTTGTCACACTTAGCTAGTGCCTTTTCACTCGCGGTTGCTACTGTGATGGCATTGGGGACATGTGGCTGCATGACTGTTTCAGTGGGCACGTTAGAAGATGGCTTATGATCTACCCATCTCTCCCCTGCCGAGCGCGACCGTCTGTGCCTGAGCCGAACTGGAGGTGGGTTCTGATCAGAGCGGGAAAGGAACCAGAAGAAACAAGCACAATCAGTCATTCATTTCTCACAGGTCCCCCTCAGCAGAAGTGCAGCTTTTCAGGCCTGGTGAAGAGGTATTGGTACAAAACATGACAACATCGCTCACAAGCTGGTTTTGTATTGGAATCCGCCCAGGAAGGCACCATTCCTGACCTCCAAGCGCAAACAGCGCTTGACATTCTGCTAGTGCCAGCGTCTATTCTTTGCAAATTTAAATAGAGCTTCAGCCAGCTGGAGGTTTTCCTTAAATTGTCCTTTCATTTGAAGTGTCATTAGTACTTCTGGCAATTCAAGAGAATTACTAGAAGCTGTGAAGGTTGCATATACACTAAACAGGCCTGAAAACGAGGAAGTTTAAAGATAGTGTCCATGGACATTCCTGAGTGTCACCGCCTGTTTTTCAGATAGCTGGGGGAGGAGATCCAGAGATTTAGGAGGGCTTATGCCTGAGTTCAGCACAGTGGTCCTCAACCCAAGCTAGAGACCTCTGGGGTAGGTTGTAGGCATAAATTAAGTTAAAACCAAGGTTGCAGACATGGTATTTGCTCAGCACTGCTGCCCATGGGCAGCAAAGGCTAGGGACCATTGGTTTAGCATGTCTGAAGGACAAGAAAAGAGTCTTTTTGTAGTTAGTGCAGAGAAGGAGATGCTGCCTCTGCTCAACCCCCCCAGGCATTCCTTGGGCAAAACCAGAAGGCTGTTTGAAACTGCAAACAGCAAAGTCCCATGCCTCATTAAAGAGATGTGGGACTGCTTGTGATGTACAGCTGGAAAACATGGGGCAGGTAATGTCATGCAAGACTAAGCTTTATTTCCAGTCTTCTCTGAAAGATTACCTGGGTTTATTCCTGAAAGTTAAGCTCGACCAAAACGACCTGACAAACATGTGTGAAGTATGAAATAGCACTCTCAAAAGGGTGAGAAAGACCAGATTTGGCCCAGCCTACTGCTGAACCCCACACTGGAGAGATGCGAGTTATGATGATACCTCACACTAACTTCTGAACTGCCTAACTGGGTCACTATGAACTTCCCCTTAATATACAGAGGACATGGCCAAAACCCAACACAATCTTGAGATAGAACCCAGCTTATTTTCAGCCAGGAGTCCCTCCTCTTCCAACCCAGCTCATGCAGCAGGGGGAGAACAGCCAGGAAGAGAGAAAAGGCCTATCCAAAGTACCTGCAATCTTCATTACACTAGACACTGCACTTAACCCTTCTCATTCAGCCTTCTCCAGGAGAGGGTACAGAAAACCCAAGACAAAGCTATCAAAACCAGTCAAAAAGGCAGCATCCTCTGCAGAGCTACTATGATTTGACTACCAGCAATACAATATGGGAGATTTTATATTACTGTTTCACATGTTCCTTAATTACACTAATGACACCTAGCAAAGACACACAGCATATATCCATGGACACTATCCCGATCCGCTGCACCTCCAAAACCCAAGCACTGATTATATTTTATTCAGCATGAAAGGTAACATCTACTGTGCAACCCCCTCCTAATTAAATTCTTCTTAATGACCTAAAAGCACCATTTCCAAGTTAATTCTCTTAAGGATGTTGCATAGCGTGGAGGCAAAAAGTAGCTGCAAGAATTGAAAAAAAAAAAAATTCTATTTGACTACGGTTATTCCAAGTTACTCAGCGTTACACAAGAAGTATTAGTTTGTTAATAATTAAAAGACAAATGGTATAAAGTGCCTTGGAAGTTCAGAGCCATAGAAGAGGTGCACTGTATTTCACAGGAAGATGTGATCCTTAATTTGTAACCACCAGGGGTTAAGGTATATACTGTTAAGAAATCTTCAGTTTGAATGGCATTGGCATGATTGGTCACCACTTGTTCCAAGGAAGTCCATTGGCAGCAAGGAGTCCAAGGCACGGACTCATAAGGTGAGAAAAGCTTTGCTCTTGTTGCATTTTTTGTGGGGGGAGATCCTCCACATGTGCTATGCACATGGGGCTTTTTTGGTTTTGTTCACCCGAACTCCTGTGGCAACTATGCTTTAAACGCTGCACGTAGCATTCAGACAAGCAGCCCTTCCTTGAGACCACCTTTACAAAGAAATCAGTTTTAGGAAGTCCAACACAAACCAAAGTGAAGCTGTCGGCTTTACCGCTACCCTTAACATTTAATAAAAACAGAGATTTAGGAATCAGGTCTTACACTCATAAGAGGGAGACTGCTTGTCCAAATACTATTTTTCAGCAGGTAAGCATAAACAAATGGCTTATGAGACCACCTTTTAAATTTGCCCAAAGATAGCTATGATAAAAATTGCAGACTGCCCAGCAAGTTTGAGGAGAGAAAGACAAATGGGGACAAGGAGGTTTAGAGTCAATGTTCCTGCTAGGCGAGTGTTTCAGATAGGTTAGAGATGTGCTGACAAGACACAGGCACACTACTTTGGAGGTTTGTAAAATGCCGACTTCAAAAACACGTTAGTTTTTGTTTTGCAAGTACCAGGACTCACAACTTGGAGGCAGTACTGTCACGTGTAGCACCAATTCATAACGTAGAGTCCAAATCTTTTAGGCACATGCTCATGCTGTATCAGAGCACTCTTAGCTTCACGGTTATTTGACAGTGGTGATCTTCTGAGCCAGAGTAGCCAAGCACTGCTGCACTTAAGCATTGCTATGTGTAACCATTGCTAGGAGCAGCACTAACCCTGCAGCATTGGTCCTCTTCTACGTCTATCTGATTTCTACGGCTGGGAACCTCAGTGACTCCAGTTCGGTACATCCCTCGCCTTCTGTCTGACACACAGTTTCTATTTTGCTCTGGTTCCTGTTGTCTAATCCTTGCATTAGGTGTAACACTGGTAGGCTTGCTGTGTGAAGGAAACTTCTGCTCCCATTCAGAAATACACGATGCCACAGAAATGCTGCTACAAGAGTTAGAACGTCTATGCATCTGTGGCTGGCTCATAAGTTGGTGGCTGTTTGGGACCTGAGTACCATAGTTACTAGAAAGCTGAAGAAAACGGAAGAGAAGTTAGTGAACATACGAAATTCTGAACTGTTAAAAAGAGGCTAATACATTTTAAAAGGAAAAAAAAAAAGTCATTCTGTTTGCTCTCTGCAAGGAAAGCCAGTCTTTATCTAAAACACACAACTTAAAAAGGACTAATTGTTTCAATGTTAGCCTTAAAAAAAATTAAAGCAGGACATTCCTCCAATTGCTCCAGTGTAAGTGAAGAGAGCATGCACAAAAGGGACAGCACATTAGAGATTGGGGGAAGGATTTGAGGAATACAGCAGCTAAAACAAACATTCATGCTCATTCACCATTCTAGCCACCAAGTCGGCTGCATTTGGATTCATAAAAAACAGTTCCTCCCTGCACTAAGCAGAGCGTTTTACAAGTAGCTTACAGGTACTGGTGAAGGAGAGACAGATCTCTGAAGACCCCTCTCTCGGTCCTTCTCCCGTGAAGGTCTCTCTGGCTTTTCAGGCTTTGGTTCAGTAACAATGGCTTTCAGCTGCTTCAGTTTCTCGTCTTTGACCCACAGCTTGTTCTGCATCTCCAGTTGTTTTGCCGCCACCCGCCGCTCCTGGAGGAGAGGACAGGATAAATGTTAGTTTGAAAGACCAATTTCACAAGCACAACCAAGTAATCCTGTCAAAAAATAATTGGAAGGGAGCCATGTAATCCCAAATGGGATTAAATTATTCCAGCTGAGATGCAGAACCTAGAAATATCAACTCACTAATTGCAGTGGGTGGAGCTGCATTTCAAAGCTGTGGCATATTTACAGGCTGCTCCATTCCTTAAGACTATTACATTTAGTAGCACACAGTCATTATTCCCTGAAAGCAATCCTCTAATAGGGCTACATCATCATAGTTTATCATCTCCTAAGAAGCTATTTCTCCTCCATATACGTGTACATTTTGGTGCTTTTAAGAATAAAAATTCTTGCAAAGAGTGCTCTTGACACTAGGATACAGCTGCCAACTGACACAGCAAGAGAAGTGCAAATGATGAATCAGAAGGAACAGGTGCTGGATTTATATAAAAGTATCTGCTTTTTAAAAAAGTTATGCCATTTGCATCAAAATCCTTCCATACAGATTCTACCTTGACATAAAACGTCTGTAAAGTTTCAGCTGACACCAGGTCTTTCATAATGGGCCACACAGGAGAACTCCAGCCTTTATTCTACACCAGTCCTGCTCCCGGAGGCAGTTTAAAAAGCTGTCATAGTATACTTACACACTCTTTCTCCCACTTGGTTGTAGTCTCTACCACCATGCCTTGCAACCGTGCTTCCAACCTGCGTTTATCAGATGCCTGACGCTGCAATTTCTGACTCTTGCTCTCCAATTCTTGCTGTAGAGTACGTTTTTCTTCTTCATAAATGGTAGCCGTTTTCTCCAAGATATCAATCTAGAAGAAAATGCCATAGTCTTTACTTTCACTACTAGTTTCTCAAGCTGCCTCTTCCCACCAAGTGGGTTCAAATTACCATTTGTGTTTTAGCATATCTTATCATGTTTTAGAATATATTTTCAATTGTAGTGCACATGTACCCAGAGGGACTAGGCAAATGCTTTACTAACTGCCTTTGAAACGTTAACATAGTTTCATAGTTTCTAGGGTTGGAAGGGACCTGAACATATCATCGTCCTGCCCTGGGCAGGAAGGAGTGCTGGGATCATCAAACCCCAGCCAGATATCTATCCAACCTCCTCTTGAAGACACCCATAAACAACATTAAGGACATGAGTTTACATTCCCTGTAAGAAAAGTTCTCATGTAACTGGAATTCCCCAAATTGAAGCACTTGAAAACCTGATGCTTTTTTTTTTTTTTTTTTTTTTTAAAAAAAGTCTCCGGTACAAGTCTCCTCTGCTAGGTAAGGTGCACATTATGTGTATGAGAAGTGGGCAGCTTGATTATACAAGAACAAACCTTATACTCCAGCGTTTTGTTTTTCTTTTCTAGCCGTTCAATCTCCATTCTCTGTCCTGCTATCGCTTTCTCCTTTTCAGCCAGCTTTCCTTGAGCAAAGTTTTCCTTGGATACCATTTTGGTATCAAATTCTTGCATCATAGTTTTAAATGCAAGCGCTGCAACAGATTCAAAACATCATAATACAGTATTGGTAAGATTCTTCCCACCCCAACTCCATTAATGTATCAAGTTTTGCATGGTTCCTGCTGGCTTGAAATATGAAGATTGCCTTATTTGCTTGACAATTACCAGCAGTCTAAAGCAACATTGAGGACTTCTGATGAGCAAAACATGTTCTACCATGGTCCCATGGGGGACAAAAGAGATCCATTTCTTTCGCCTCAGATACTTTGCACATCTATATCAATGCACGAAGCAAGCCAAAAAAGTTTGACAGATTCTTAATGCTTACCGTTTTTAGCAAACTCCTCTGACAGCATTTGCCGGGCTTTATGGCGCTTTTCCAAGGCATCAATCAGCCTTGGAAGTGTTTGATCATCATTAATATCTAGCAGTTCACATGAAGGCAATGGAGGGAAGTTTTGCAGAAACATTTCTGTGACAGATTGATCTTCTGTTTCTAGAAAAATAGAAGAAAGAGTGGTCCAAGCTATGGCAAAAGGCTAGAAAAAGAAAAAATCAGAGAGCTTTCAACTCAAACCCCCAAAAGACCTTGATTAAAAGTTGTACATAATGAGAGCCAGAAGTTTCCACGAACTAGAGAGAATTATACCAAAATAAGGGACTGAATGAAAAAAAACAAACAAAAAAACAAACAACAACTAGCAAGTAGTAACAAGGGCTTTTGTTAGGGAGGACTATAATAGAAATAGGTAAAATAGGTGGGGAAGGCACTTTGGAAAATGTACTAAAATGTGGGGAGAGGAAGAGATTAAAAAGAAGTATTTCCCTGGAGTATACAGTTGTTTCTAGCTTAAGTTATTTCTTCTGATAATTGTCACCTATATTAAAATTAGCAACAACCTTCTTTCAGAGAGAGTAATTAGAAAAAGTTAGTCTCAAACTTGTTATGATTAGCTTATTGAAAATTTGCCTTGATATTAGTGGAAGCTCCACAAGAGTGCATGCACTGCTGCAGCACAAACCAAGGGCTGCCCGACTTGTGATCATGAGCTAAGAATTCACGAAAAGTTTACTTTCATAGCACGCCCCCTCCCTAATCAGAAATGAAGGAACAATTAAAAATCTGTGCTACAATTAGCAAACACCATTGCAGAGTTTACCTCCAATTACTGGGCCACCACGAGCTTCAAGTTTCCGTGAGAGTTCATCTTTAAAGGCCTGGTTCTTAAAGCGACGACCAGGTGTTAAGCCACACAGAGGCTTATCAACGGGTCTTGCAACTTCAACTTCTTGGGTCATTTCAGCAAATCGCATGACTTGCTGCAGAACAAAATTCAGTTTTAGAGTATTTGACTACTTTAGCCACACACATCACGAATTTGTAAATTTAAATACTGCCCTAAGAGGATGCTTACAGAGACACTATCAAGTTAAGCCACTTTTCTAAAAATGCAGCTAAAAGCAGTTCCTAGTACCACAGCTCCTACCCAGTCAGACAGTTCTACAGTCAGCTTCGCGCAGCTCCTTTCTGCTCTTCACAGCTGCTGCAGCAATACCAACTAATGTCACAACAAGCACTTAAGCCCTGATGTCAGCACAGCCCAAATTGGCATTCAATAACCTTTAAAGCCTTAGCACACGAAAAGGGGATATGCCTTTTGCTGAGAGCACTTAACTGCTATTTCTAAGAATGAGGAGCAAGATCATACTTGCAAGCTTCCCTGTAAAGCAGGGGTGGGCAAAATATGGCCAGGTGACTGGATCCAGTCTGCAGTGCTCTGCAAGCGGCCATGCCCTGCCTACTCATGCCAGGGCAGCCTGTGCCAGGCTCCTGCCAGCCTGGGCCCCAGCCAGCGCACAGCTCCTGGCAGAGCTGTTCCTGGCGTGGCTGCAGCTAGGTGCTGCTCTGCACCCTGCCCTCCCTCCCCACCTCCAGTGGTGGTGCCTGCTTATGATCTTGCCCCTGCCGCACCACACCGTGTTGTGCCTTGTAAGCAGTTTCAGCTGGGTGGCTCCTACCCCAGGGGCAAGATCAGGAGGAGCCAATGGAAGCAGAGGGTGCAGAGC